CAATGAGATGATATACGATGGAATGAATGTAAAACTAAAGTTCTCTCATGTAAACTACCATATAATTCACAATAAAACATTAAAAAAAAAAAAGTCAACCATCTGTTTAAATGATAAAAAAAAAAAAAAAAGCATTGCTAAAAACCCACATTCACCTTAAATGAAAGTATCAGAATGGGAAGCTGTTGTTTCTCAGCCCAGCACCCCCTCCCCATCAAGGTGGACACCGTTCTGAAGGTTGGGTACCCATCTCTCATTCTGAACCCTTCCACACGTACACCACCTCCAACAGCAGTTGGGTCATCCCTGAGGGGCTCAAATCCTGTTCCTTTTCAATGTTCCTTGAGTTTGAGGAGCGAAAAGAAGTCTAGAGAACCGATTGGGGCTATAGGATGGATGGGGTCAAGTTTCCGGATGACGGAAACAATCCCTCAGTCCAACTTCCCAGGCCTTTTTCTCACCAATGCAGTTTTCCATTTTCTGAAAACTTCTTCCTAGTAAGTCCTTGTGGTCATCCTGTGTCCTTCAAGAAAATTTATCAAGATGACCCCTTTAGGGTCCCCCCAAAACCTGTCATCATGACCCCTTAGCTGATCTGGCTCAGCAGATCCCCTCAGAAGTCAGTTTTAATTGGACCCTTTTTTGAAGACAACCTAACAAGACTTGTTGTTAAATGCTGTCGAGTCAGTTCCAACTCATAGCAACCTTGTACAGAGTTTCTGAGGAGCGGCTGGTGGTGGGTCTGAACTGCTGACCTTTCAGTACACAGTCCACTAATGAGACAAGGACAAGTGTGTGATCGAGAGCCTGTCTGTAGCCCTCCGCTGGTCACAGAGACATGTTGAAACAAGTTTTGTTTGCAATGAGCTCGCACATGTATGATGTGCACTGGCAGTCCGTCTGGACTCTGCCTTGTATATAAACGCAGGCCCCAGTCCGAGCTACCTCACAGGCACACCCTGCTCCCTCCTTACCTACAGTCAGCGCCTCAAACAGGCAGTGGATGGTGCTAGTGTCCTTCACGAGCCCCGACTCCTGAACGTGCTTCACAAAGTCCTCCAGCTGCATGTGTTTCCTGGGCAGCTCGAATTTCTTCACATGGTCGTCTGACTTGGCCACCTCCCCGGGCTTGTCCACAACCTCATGGATGAGCCTTTTCAGCTCAGGGGTCCGCTCAGTCTGGGCCCGCTCAGGGGCGGACATGGACGCCACTGTCCGCTTCACCAGGTCAGCAGGGAAAATCCTGATGTCCGTCTTGTACAGGCTTTGGAAGTCCAAGAGGGCACTGAGCAGCTTCCCCTGAGTCAGATGGATGAGCCCTCGGAGGTAGAAGTAGCGGGCCAGCAGCACCGAGTGGTCAGGGCCCAGGAGGCTCATGGCTTTGGTCAGCAGCTCAACGAAGTCCGTGTAGTAAATGTGAACACACTGTGCCACCAGGGGAAAGTGGATTTCTGGGATCTTGAATGTATAGGTTGACTTAGTGGAAAAATTCGGAACTGGAAAAGGAAGGGGGTAAAGCAAATAATTAGCACAGAGCTTAAAAATAAACCCTGAATCAATGCTATCCCCTCCATACAGAGGGTGCATAGGGACAGGCAACTTAGACATTGGCTACCTAAAATGAGGGGGTGATGGAGGAATGAAGGGACTGGTTTACAAGGTTTCAAGAGGGAGTTTAGTTTTAAGAGTGTGTGGGGGAAGAAAGAGACCCCGCTGAATAGTTTGTATCTTGTCTAGATGGGTGTGGTGAAAAGAGATAGGGATAAGATTCTTATGATTCAATAGTGAGTAACTGTCATCATGACTAATTGCGACTGTCACAATTGTAAAGGTAGAAGTTTTGTAACAAAAACGGGGGAGTAGTTAATCTTAC